AAAAGTCAGCTTGATTTTCCAATCATCTCTTCAAAAACAAGTTCCTCTTCTTTTTGGGGTTCAGCAATTAGGTAACAAGGATGCTCGAGACGAAAAAGGGAATAGATGTTTTAACTCATCTCAAAACTTAAAATTCTCTTACGTTCCTTGACCTGAAATGAGTATACATGTGAAGTCTTTTATTAACTCCATGGTGAAAGGTGACGTGTTACATGACAAGCTAGCACCCAGCACGTACTTAATGTAGTTATTGGGATTGCTGGTAGAATCTGGATCCTGTTTCACAGTCATTAGACTGGTTTCAAATGTTATGTTTGAACAAACTGAATATTCAATGTATTCGCGATATCAAGGAATTTGTACATTCTGACCCCTTCTGCTTTCCTTCAACACCACTGTCAATCTCGCCAACATTGGTACACTATTACAATAAGGCCCATTCAATGATTGAACTGAAAAATTGCAAGCTACAACAAGATTATGGTTAAGAAAGGAAGTATGCCAATAAAATTCTGCATTTAAAAAAGGAATGGATAGACTTTGCCTTTTTTGTAATTTCAATGACAAAACCGTTTTAATGGGTCCCTTCACAATAGTTTAACTTGAGCAACTATACATTTAGACCACGTTTTGGTGAGCGAGTTTATATGAATGACAGTTCAATGGGATGCACGAATGACTCTTCTTGCCAAAGTGTAGTACCCGGCAGCATATGTAATACTACAACACGTCTTTGTCAAAGTGAGTCAAATACGTGATTATTCGTAAGTACATGCAATTGTCAATGCAAATGTGTGTAACGACGTTTTGAACCTTTTATTATCACATTTCAGGAAGCGAAATGACGCAACAAATTCGGGACAGAGTGCTCCTTATGCACAACTGGCGCAGGTAAAGTCAATTCATATAAGCTCTCTCAACGCAACTGACGTACACGGCTACCCTTAAATAGCTTTTAATTCAGGCTAAGTTTCTTAGTTTCGAATCCAGTTTTTCTACGATGATTAAAATTGCAAAAAAAAAACCCTGCATTAACACATGTATGCAA